CCACCCGTATGGATACACAGAGGTGCTATGAGAGCCCCTATGCGGACCTAGGAGATCAGGCCAAGGAGGTTTACCTGGACGCAAATGCTGCGACGCTGGGAAGAACAAGAACTGGCTCTGGTAATTTTGGAACTGTGAAAAAGGGCTACTACCAAATGAAAAAGTAAGTCACATGTCCACCCGGTCTCCACCCTCATGTGAGCTCAGGTTCTAGACACGACTGAGAATAACAAATGTAACCTGGCATGACTAAACCCTTTTTTTTATTAATTGCTATCTTTCTCATTAGTTCTGGTACTATTATAATGAAAGCCTTTAATGGCGGAAACTTGCAATTACTTTGCACCGACTAAAGGAACACAGGCCTTATGGAAATCTTGAGGGAATGAACAGCGAGGAGACATAGAAATAAAAAGCATCAATCTCTGTGCGGTGGCTCATGCCTGTAATCTTAGCAATTTGGGAGGCCTTAGTGGTAGGGAGATTGTTTGAGACCCAGAGTTTGAGACAGCTGGGAAACATAGCAAGACCCTGTCTCTCATAACACACACACACACACACACACACACACACACACACACACATTAAAAGATTAGCCAGGCGATGGTAGTGCACACTATAGTTCAGCTGCTCAGGAGGCCAAGAGGTCAAGGCTGCAGTGAGCCATGATTTGCATCACTGCGCTACAGCCTCAGTGACAAAGCAGGGCCTGTCTCAAAAACAAAGAGAAAAGAAAAGAAGAAAAACATCATATTTGTATAGATCCATCCCAACACTACTACTGTTAACTGAACACTACTGTTAATTAACCTTATAGTATATTATTTTTAGATCTTTAGTTGTACACACAATATTATCTAATAAATAAAATCATTCCTTATACAATACAGTGTTTTACATTTTTTTCTTTAATTTTATAGTTATGTCTCGTTTTTCTTACTGTGGAAATTGTTGATTCCAATATGATTAGTATAATTATTTTTTTTTTTGAGACGGAATCTCGCTCATTGTGTGCTCCCAGGCTGAGTGCCAGGGCGTGATCTCAGCTCAGCTGAAGCTCCATCCTCCCGGGTTCACGCCATTTCTCCCGCCCTTCAGCCTTCCAAGTAGCTGAGACTACAGGCGCCTCTGCCCACCACGCCCGGCTAGTTTTTGTATTTTGTAGTAGAGACGGGGTTTCACCCATGTTAGGCCAGGACAGTCTCGATCTCCTGACTACTCGTGATCCACCCGCCTCGGCCTCCCAAAGTGCTGGGGATTACAGGCTTGAGGCCACCTGCGCCGGGCTCTAGTATAATTATTTATTGGCTTTATCCTATGATTTCAAATAACAATACATATTATACAACAGTTAAAATTGCTAAATTTCTAAAATATCTTTGTATTTTTTTTTTTTTTTTGGTCTTTAGAAAGTATCCAACATGGAATGTACAAGTAAAAATACTGGTTTCTAAAGTCCTTTGAAACACACCCTCTCTTTGAATTGGTATGATACTAATATGAATGTGGTTGGATTTAGTAGCTTCATGGTATTTCAAATTTAAGGAATTTTTATAAAAAAAAAAGTATGAGTAGGTAATTTATATGATTCAAGTAGGTTAAAAATATAGACAAAAGTATACACAGACATACATGCTTTTCGGCCAGGTGCCGTGGCTCACACCTGTAATCCCAGCACGTTAGGAGTCCAAGGCAGGTGGATCACCTGAGGTCTGGAGTTCGAAACTAGCCTGACCAACATGGTAGAACCTTGTCTCTACTAAAAATACAAAAAATTAGCTGAGTGTGGTGGTGCACACCTGTAGTCCCAACTACTCAGGAGGCTGAGACAGGAGAATCGCTGGAACCTGGAGGAAGAGGTTGCAGTGAGGCAAGATCACACTGTTGTACTCCAGCCTGGGCAACAAGAGTAAAACTCTGTCGAAAGGGAGGAAGGAAGGAAGAGAGGAAGGGAAGGAAGGGAGGAAGGGAAGGAAGGAAGGAAGGAAGGAAGGAAGGAAGGAAGGAAGGAAGGAAGGAGAAATGCTTGCTTTCCAATCTGTCCCTTCCATTTGTTTTTGTGCATGTGCATCTCTGTGTATATACATATATACATATATACACACACAGATACACATACATGTATATACGTATACACACACAAACATACACACACGTATACATTCACAAGTATATACATAAGCACATGTATACACACAATCAAAATTGGTTGTGATACTTATTTTAAAATATATTTGTATATCACAGTCATTTTGTACAATGAACAAAAATGTTTCTGTGTTAATCATAAGCTTTTTCAGTTTGTGAAAGGTTGTGATCTTTATTCTCTGCTTAAATTTGTGAATTAACATAGATATGACGGTGGACATAATTTCAACTAGAGAGTTTGGGGAGAGGAGAGGCTCTCTCGGTCAATTTTGCAAAAGTATGTCTTTACAATACTGAGTCTTTCAATCTATAAGCACAGCCCATCCCCGCATTTACTAGGTCTTCTTCAGCCTCTCTCAGGAGAGTTGTTTACCTTTTCAAAGCATTACATTTAAATGTATCCTTTTAAATTCTGCACCTAGAAATTCACTTTCAGCGTTTATGAAAGGCATTTTATATTCACATTCATTACACGTAATCTGAGATGGTGAATCCCAAGATGTTACAGGAATTTGTGCATGTCATCGTTGGTGAGGTTTATTTACAAGTTATTTAAATATTTTACAGTTTAGGGTTTTTGCTTGGTTGGGACATTCTTCAGTACTGTTCTTCACCATTCTTTTTATTTTATTTTATTTTTTAGAAACAGGGTTTCCCTCTGTCATCCAGTCTAGAGTGAAGTGGCAAGAAACTCACTGCAGCCTGGAACTCCTGAGTCCAAGTGATTCTCCCACCTCAGCCTCCTAAGCAGCTGGGACTACAGGCTTGCACTGTCATGTCTAGCTGATTTTTTTTAGAGATGGGGTTTCACTATGTTGCCCAGGCTGATCTTGAACTTCTGGCCTCAAGCAATCCTCCCGCTTCAACCTCCCAAAGTGTTGGGATTATCAGCATGAGCCACCATGCCCAGCCCCCACCATTCTTTTTTAGTAATGGGGCATTACTCTCATTGTCTGTAAAATTAGGGAATATAGGTTGGAAGGCCAGCCATCCATTACAGGCTTCTGAAGACACATTGTCACTCTGTGGCAGGTATTTCCATGGGACTGGTTCCACGCGGGGATTATGCTTCACAGGAGAAGATTATCTAGAAGTCAGGCATTTCGGAAAGTTTCTTGTGTGTTATGATTTCTCTTGCAGAGTTGTGAAAACAGTGGCTGTGAAAATTCTGAAAAACGAGGCCAATGACCCCGCTCTTAAAGATGAGTTATTAGCAGAAGCAAATGTCATGCAGCAGCTGGACAACCCGTACATCGTGCGTATGATCGGGATATGCGAGGCCGAGTCCTGGATGCTGGTTATGGAGATGGCAGAACTTGGTCCCCTCAATAAGTATTTGCAGCAGAACAGGTATTGTCAGGTGCCCCCACAGGTCTGGAAGCTATCCCCTAAGGGACAGGGCCCACCACTGGATGGGCTGAGCAGCCTGATTTCCGTGGGAAGCCTTCCCACCCTCCTGTGCCTTCCCTTATTGGTCCATACTCAGGGACCTTGACAGAGGGACAAAGGGAGACACAGTCTTTGGATTCAGCTCTGTTAGCTCTAGTTGTTCAGAGAAGAACTCATTCGACAGTTTTGTCTTTCTTTTCTTTCTGTACTCATTCAGTCTTGGCCTAGTGATAGACTCAGCCTCAGAATATCTTGACAGGGAATCTCCTTTCTCACTGAGAAGAACACATTCTTTTTAAAGAAACATTTAAAATAAGTGCTTTTCTAAGAGGTGACAGTTATGTTTTATCTGGCTGACCTCATGTCCTCATGAATAATGACTTCTGAAAATATCAGTCGCTGCTAATTGATTACATCCATCAAGGGAGTAATCGTGTTCTCATCTAAAGCTGTTGTTGAGATGGGGAAACTCACTTGGCGTAAGACAGAATGATGGCTACTGAGGAGCTTGCTTTGTTTGCTGTGCTATGTTTGTACTTAGATTGTCTCTTTAGTCTCCATGGAAGGGAGGTGTTCTTACCCTTTACAGGTGAGAAACTGAGACTCAGGGTTAGTTCTGTGACCTGTGCAATACTGGATTTAAGGTGGTGCCTGGCTGTCTGTGAACCAGGCCTCACCACTCTGTTATACTGCTTGTCTTGCAATTCCAAGCATGCCAGGAAACTCAATCCCATTGAACACCAGGAGAATATGGCATTCAGTCCTGAAGAGCTATATGCTAACAAAGTTATTTGTCACCACTTGTGAGTTTTGTTGTTTAAGAAGAGGGAAGGAGTAGATTCACCTACTGCCTGCATGAGGAGCATGGTTGTTTGTTGTGAAATGGGTCACTGTCGGTTATAGCTGATGAGATCGTTGTGACTTTCAGACATGTCAAGGATAAGAACATCATAGAACTGGTTCATCAGGTTTCCATGGGCATGAAGTATCTGGAGGAGTGCAATTTTGTGCACAGAGATCTGGCCGCAAGAAATGTGTTGCTAGTTACTCAACATTATGCCAAGATCAGTGATTTCGGACTTTCCAAAGCACTGCGTGCTGATGAAAACTACTACAAGGTAAGTACAACTTAGCTAATATTCAGAGCAGCTGGTGGTAAAAAATACAAGATAAATGTATGTTTTCTTTATTTTACTATTGGTATGGTTTTAAAAAGCAATTTTGCTACTTAAAAAATAACTATATAAGAAATGTTCTCATAATCTTTGATTTTACTGTTTAAAAAATAAAAATAATATATCATACCTTGAGATTTACTCAATGTAGTATATTCTAAATTATGTTTCATGGAATGATCAGGAATCGAGGTATTAAGTGATGATTCATTTTGAAAAAAGAAGAATGGGATTCCTTCATTAAGTTAATTTCAAAAGTTTGGATTGGACAGCTTGATTCTTGCAGGATTTCCCCAAAGCCCTTTTCATGCTACTCAACATTACAAATCTCAGTAGAGGGTTTTGCTGCATTGCATCTCTCAAACCAGATTCATCCATGGCATCCTTTTCTGATAGGACATTTCATAACATCTGGTGGAACACTGTTCCACAGCATGGAGCTATTGGAGCTTGGAGCTCCAGTATTGCAGCTTGGAGCTCCAGTATCGCAGCTTGGAGCTATTCCAAAATAACCTTCTAATGAACACCTATCTACACATGTAAAAGTTAGGAAGTGAAGATTTATCAAATAAACTCATCATCTGTGTATGTCCACTACGTATGTAGAAATTGTTCTATTGGCTTAACTGGTATCCTGAGGAGTTGAAGTGTCAAAAAATAAATGCAGTGCTGGAAAGAAGAGATCTAGACAGTTATGTGACTGAAGCTAAAAGAAACCTATGCCCCTTAGTTTGGTGAGGTAGAGATTATCAAGAATTAAGGGTGGACTTCCAGCAAAACATAAAGTAGAAACTAGTTCTGGGTGCAGGCTTAGACTTCCTAAAAAATAATTTCACAGTGACCAATCCCCTTGCTAATATGACTTGACCCCTCTCTGAACCCTCAAATGAATCAATAACAACCAAAAGAAGAAACGATAAGAAAGCTCCATCTTCATATTAACTCATCCATGGTGTATACCTAGGGTCTGTGTTGACCAACTGGAAAATGTGATGGGATTGGGTCCCACTGAGTCAAAGAGGGTGCCGAGGGCAGGTTGACAACTCTGCTGGTCTCTGGTGAAGTCCATGTGCTCAGAAATAGATGGCAGACCCTGAAAATCTACCTAGTGGATGGCAGATGGGGTCCTGAGTTTCATGCCCTGCAGTGATCAGAGACTCCACCCTGAGTGACAATACCCGCCCACTCACCATTCCCTAAGAGGCAGTCCATGGACCAGTAGGTGATGGGGAACGGTGGACCTCAGCCAGCAAAGGCACTGCATGAAGGGTGAGCCACAAGAGCCAAGCTCTGAGGCAGGCAGGCAGACTCCACCATCTTGAGCACAAAGGCCAGGCAAGAGTATAGCAGGGCTCAGGCTGGCCCTCCTCACCCCATTCTTCATACAGTAGCTTCCCAGAAGGAAGCCCCTTCAGAGGTGAGCCACTGTGAGAAGGGCATCAGCATGGGCCTGGACAGAGACAGCAGGGAAACGGAGCAAGGGAGACAGCAGCCTAGGATGAGCAGCACAGGATACGCTGGAGAAAGAAGCCTGTTGTAAAGCTGCATGTACCTCATCATGATCATTAGACAGAAGAAGACAGCCTGTCTGAAACAAGGACACAGATGAGATAGAGAAGATGAAACATGAATGCTGGTCACCTTATCCACTGCTGTATAACAAATCACCTGAAACTTAGTGCCAAAAACACCACCAGGTGTTGGTTTCCTTGCCATCCTGCTGTGTGGGCAGGGCCGGGTGGGCAGGGTTTAGTGCGTCTGCTCACAACAGGGGGTTGTACGGTGGCCCGAGGGACAGGAGGAACGTTTCCACTCTGCTCACTCACACTACTCAGCCATGAGCAGCTGGTTAGACCCGGCCCATGCTGGAGACCTCTGCGGGGCTGTCAGCCAGCTCACCTGCACACAGCCTCTCCTTGGGGCCCTCAGGCTTCCTCACAGCATGGCAGCTGCAGGCTGAGAGCCGTTACCCAAGAGGCAGGAAGTGGGGGCTGCCAGGCCTATAAGGCCGGGCCCAGAAACTGCCTCAGGGTCACTACCACCTGATCCTGTTGGTCAGAGCAGCCAAGGCCGCCAGTTTCAAAGGATGGGATAGATAGAGCCACCCTTGTAAGGAGAAGCATCAAAGAGTCAAAGAACATGGGGCCAATTCTAAAACCGCCATAGATATTAAACAGCACACCATTAGAAAGTAAACTAAAGTAAACTAAAAAGTAAACCAACGTTGTCTTTGGACAATCAATGAAGAAAAAAAGCCACTATGGAAATAAAAGCCATGTTGGAAGCAGCAAAAACAGACCAAACTACTGAAAAGACAGGGTAGTGGAGGATTTCTTTATGAAAAAAAAGCAAAGTGACATGGAGAAGAATAAAAAGTGGGCCGGGAGCGGTGGCTCACACCTGTAATCCCAGCACTTTGGGAGGCTGAGGCGGGCGGATTACCTGAGGTCAGGAGATCAAGACCAGCCTGGACAACATGGTGAAAACCCGTCTCTACTAAAAATACAAAAATTAGCTGGGCGTGGTGGTGCACACCTGTAATCCCAGCTATTCGGGAGGCTGAGGCAGGAGAATTCCTTGAGCCCAGGAGGCAGAGGTTGCAGTGAGCTGAGATCGTGCCACTGCACTCTAGCCTGGCCAACAGAGTGAGACTCTGTCTCAAAAAAAAAGAATAAAAAGTGAAACAAGATCAAAGAAAAGTTCTAGCTGTGGAAGCAAACGAACTCTGGCACTCAGGGAACCATGTGTGGCAGTGTGGATTTGTGCAGCATCATGACTGAAAACACAAGTGCTGTTTGATCCAGCAGCTCCTTCCGGGAGCAAACACACACATCTGGTAATGTGCGCTCTAGCACGAGCTGCCGTAGCAAAAATCTGGAAACTGCCTGACAGCTGCTCCACAGAGTTTGGTCCATTCAGTCATAGCAGATTCACAGCAAGCTCACAACGCAGTGCTTTTAAAAGTGACTTCATTTGTATGTGCTGACCTAGAAATATGTCTCCTATACATGGTTAGGCAGAAAAATTAAAAAGTACAGTGCAAAAAGAATATGCCCCTAGTTTGTTGACCAGAAAAAAGTAAATACTACCTATGTATGCATGTATCTAGGTTATTCTGGAGAGAGGCTAACTTTCATTGCATTTAGGATTTGTCAAAGGTTTACTTTTTTCATCAGTTCAGAATTCAGAAGAAACTTGAAATAACACATGGCTGTATTGTTCATGACTTGTAAGATCAACATTTTAAAATAGCACATCAGGTGATGGAAACAGAAGTATAATCAGTCGTGTCATTTGGAAGAGAAATGCCAGGGCACCTTATGGTCTCCAGACTGATGTCCTGAATGTCTCCTTGTGATCCACGATAGTGCCATGAAATCAGTTTTCGCCGAAATCATGTCCCTCCCTCCACTGCAATGAGACCTCACACAGGTGACATCAGCAGAAGATAACAAGACTCCGCTGTGTGCCCCCAAATCCCAAACCCAGAAGAGAGGGTTTTGCTATACAGTTTTGACTTCTGTACTATCACTTGCTTTTTAAAATTAGGATATTAGAAAGCTTAGATCATTTTTTAATGATGCTAGCAAATAGCGTATGCTAAAATAATTGACCTGGGAGGAGAACTGATCAAGGTGGACAACTAAATGCAACTAGTATATGCTCCTCCATGGAGCGGGACCAAAATAACAAGTACATATTCACACTTCCAATAGATGATCTAAGAGAGAACACGAATGCAACCGAGGAGCGACAGGAAGCACGGAAAGCAAAGCAGAGGGAAACGAGGCAGCCTGCTTGGCCAGGAATGACTGGGGAGCTGGAAGAAGCTTCCAGATGTGGGGAAAGCATAAGTGAGAGATCCCCAGGGCTCCACATTCCAGCCAAGGACTTCTACAGTCCTAGCGACAGGAGAATCCCTCGACTCACGTGGGCCTTAAGACTACCACAGGGAGCTGCCTAGGGATCACACAGAGGCATTGCTCCATAGAGGGAATTCACACTGAGTCCCACAGGCTTCCGAGCTCTGAGTCGCTGCAGTTTGGTGCCATACTGAGAACCAAGCCCCTAAAGGACTGCATCTTGCCCTGGGACTATTTCTGATGCTGCCACCACCGGGCCAAGGACAGAGAGGAGAGTGGACACCGCCACACACCCCAGGGACAGATCCCCCTGCTGCTGCAGGCTGCTGTGGGACTGAGACACAAGCAAATCCCACCCCCTGTAGCTGCCTGCCTACACTGCTCCCCCTGAGAATGGCCCCAGCCTCCCCAGGAGCAGGCCCATAGCCAGCGCCATTCTGAGAGCCAAGCTTCCACAGGTCTGTGTCCTTCCCTGGGCCAGGGCTGATGCTGCCACTGCCGGGCCACACAGGGAGAAGAGAGGCCAGGCACTTTCACCTACCACAAAAGCAAATCCCACCACCACTGCTGAGGGCTGCTGTGAGACCAAGGCTCAAGGAGACTGCATATCCCACAGCTACCTGCCTACTCTGCACCTACTGAGAGTGGCCCTACCCTTTCTGGTGGCAGGCCTTCAGGGCCGCCACTCCTGGCAACCTAGAGACCGCCCCTCCCTGTGTATCACAGCCAGCACCTGAATGCACTACGAGGGAGCCTGAGCGCAAGTCCATTGGCCTAGTCACATGCCCCAATACTTGAGCATGACATCCTGTTGCAGCCACCGCCAACACCAACATGGACCACTGGGGTTCCAGTGAGTTGCCCTACCACCATTACTGCCATCACCCACGTCACACCCACTGCCCAGGAACCCAAGAACCCACCCACATGCCCAGCCACTGCAGCATCCAGACAGTCTACCTGAAAGCCCAAGAGTCAACCTGCTTGGACCAACTGACACCAGTGCTAGTGTATACCGCCCTAGGGCCCAAGGACAGGCATACTCAGCTCACTGCTGTCACCACTGTGGTCTGAAGACTGGCCCACCTAGCATCCTATTCACAGTACACCTTCACGACAGCCTCCACTAATAACCATACCCTGAGCCACTGAGAAAATCACAGATGTCACTGAGGCAGTTTATGGCCAAAGAAATTATACATAGACTAAATACTGCATTCACCCCAAATCAAACCCAAAGAGCTATAAAGCTATATATATATATATATCTCCAACAGCATATATACATCTTCAGGAAAAAGACCTTTTCTACGAAAGCAATTTCAAAAAATTGGAAGAAATGACTGTTATACCATATGAGCAGATATCAGTGTAAAAACACAGGAAGCATGAAAAAGCAAGGACATATGACACCTCCAGAGGAACACATAATTCTCCAGCAAAACAATCCCAATCAAAAAGAAATTCACAAAACCCCAGATGAAGAATTCAAAATATTGATTTTAAAGAAGCTAAATAAGATACAAGAGAATTCTGAAAAACTATAATAGAGAGAATTCAGAAAAGCAGTTCAGGATATGAATGAGAAATTTATCAAAGAAATAAGTATTTTTGAAAGAACCAAACAGAAATTCTGGAACTAAAGATTCGTTGAATGCAATAAAAAATATATCCCAAACTTCACTGATAGACTAGGTTAGGCAAAATAAAGAATCTCAGAACTTGAAGACAGGTCTTTTGAAACAATCTATTCAGACAAAAATAAAGAGAAAAGAATAAAAAAGAATGAGCAAACCCTTCATGATATATGGGGCAGTGCAAAGCAACTGAATATTCAAATCATCAATATTCCCAAGGTTGAAGAGAGAATGAAAGATTAGAAATCCTATTTAATGAAATATTAGATCAAAAGTTCCCAAATCTAACAACAGACCTAGACATCCAGATACAGGAGGCCCCAAAGTCCCCAACAGATACAATGCAAAATCATCTTCTCCACAGCACGTTACAATCAAACCGCTTAAAATCAAAGCAAAAGCAAATATACTAAAAACAGCAAAAGAAAAGCTTCTCATCACCCATAAAGGAAGCAGCATTAGACTAACAGTGGACTTCTCAGCAGACACCTTACAGTCCAGGAGAGAAGGGGATGACATTTTCAAAGTGCTGAAAAAAAAGTACTGCCACCCAAGGAGACCATGTCCAGCAAAACTATCCTTCATAAATAAAGGAAAAATAAAGCCTTTCCCAGGTAAGCAAACACTGAGGGAATTCATCACCACTAGACTAATCCTAGAAGAAGTACTCAAATGAATCCTAAACGTGGAAGTAAAAGGACAATATTTACCATCATAAAAATGCACAAAAGTATAAAACTCACTGGTAAACCAAACATACAAATAATCCTGTTAAGTAGTGGGCTAAGAACATAGACAGACATTTCTCTAAAGAGGATATACGAATGGCCAACAGGTATATGAAAAAATGCTCAATATCACCAAATAGCAGGAAAGTGCAAATTACAAACACAGTGAGATACCATCTTATCACAGCTAGAATGGCTATATTAAAAAGATTTTTTTTTAAATGCTGGCAAAGATGCAGGAAAAAGGGGAACTCTTACACACTATTTGTGGGAATGTAAATTAGTATAGTCACTATGGAAAATAGTAGAGAGACTTCTCAAAACAAAAACAGGCCAGGCACGGTGGCTCACGCCTGTAATCCCAGCACTTTGAGAGCCCAAGGGGGGTGGATTGTGAGGTCAGAAGATCGAGACCATCCCGGCTAACACGGTGAATCCCTGTCTCTACTAAAAATACAAAAAATTAGCCGGGCATGGTGGTGGTCCTGTAGTCCCAGCTACTTGGGATGCTGAGGCAGGAGAATGGCGTGATTCTGGGAGGTGGAGCTTGCAGTGAGCCAAGATCACGCCACTGTGCTACAGCCTGGGTGACAGAGCTAGACTCCATCTCAAAACAAAAAAAAAAAAAAAAAAACAACTACACATAGAATTACCATATGATCCGGCAATCCTACTATTGGGTATTTATCCCAAGGCAAATAAACTTGTATCAAAGGGATACATACACTCATGTGCTTATCATAGAACTATTCACAATAGCAAAGATGTGGAATCAACGTAAGTGGCCATTAATGGATGAATGGGTAAAGAAAATGTGGTGTGTATATATATGTGTGTGTATGTGTGTGTGTATGTATACACATATATACATATATGCATATGTATGTATATGTATATACATATATGTGTGTATATATAAACACATACATACACATATATAAACACACACATACATATATATGTGTATATATATAGTACACACATACATATATATGTGTATATATATAACACACACACAATGGAATACTATTTGGCCTGAAAAAGAATGAAATTATGTCATTTACTGCAACATGGATGGAACTGGAGGTCATTATGTTAGATGGCATAAGCCAAGTACAGAAAGACAGATGCCACACGTTCTTACTCATGTGTGGAAGCTAAAAAAAAAAAGAGAAATTTCATGGAGATAAGGAATAGAATGATAGATACCAGAGGCTAGGAAGGGTGTATGGATGGGAGTGGAGATGAAAGAGGTTGGTTAATGGGTACAAACATACAATTAGACAGAACAAATGAACTCCAATATTTGAGAGCAGAGTGGGGTGACTATAGTTAGCAACATTATATTGTATATTTCAAAGTTGCTAGAAGAGAGGGCTTGAAATGCTCCCAACACATAGAAATGGTAAGTACTCAAGGTGCTAGACATCCCAAATACCCTGACTTGATCATTACACATTCCATGCATGTAACAAATACATGTACCCCATAAATATGTAAAATATTTTGTATCAATTTAAAAAATTTTAAAAAGAAATAATTGAAATTGGCTTAAAACTGTGGACATACGCACATTAGTACTTAAATATACTTATGAACAGCCCAGTATTTCTCGGATCATAACCATAAAGCAATATTCAGACTTGACTTGTCTGTTGCCATCTACATTCCCCATGAAGCTGTGTGTGACCAAAAGAAAGATGAGAGGAGAAGACTAAAAGATGCAAAGATTTTATATTTAATATATTAAATAAATAATATAATATATTAAATAATATAAATAAATATATTAAATATATACATTTAAAAATTTTTAAATAATTTTAAAGCTTTTAATAGTATCTTTAAAATTCAGACTAAACATACAGACACACACACACACACGTACACACACAGTATTTTGTGGCTCAGGATTTTATTCTTTGTTAAAGTTGTGATAAAATACATGTAACATGAAATTTATCAGCTTAATCATTTTTCTATGTGTACAGTTTAGCAGTGTTAGGTACATTCATGTTGTTGTACAACCAATATCCAGAACTCTTTTCCTCTTGCAAAACGGAAACTCTGTCCCCATCAAATACCGACTCCCCATTCTCCCTCCCTACTAGACCCTGGCAACCAGCATTATACTTTCTGTCTGTATGAGTTTAGCTACTCTTGGTACCTCACCAGAACCATACAGTATTTGTCCTTTGGTGACTGGCTTATTTTGTTATGGGTGGAGGGTGTCCAGCTTTTTTGGCATCTTGTACGAAGAACTGGACAAAACGCACAAACACAACAAGGAAACAATGAAGCCATAAAAGCAGAGATTTATTGAAAACAAAAGTACACTCCACAGGGTGGGAGCGGGCCTGAGCATAGGGTTCTAGAGCTCAGTTACAGAGTTTTCTGGGGCTTAAATACCCTCTAGAGGTGTTCACTGGTTACTTGGGGTACACTCTATGTAAATGAAGAGGCTAAAGTGAAGTTACAGAGTTATTTACTTGGTGTACACCCTATGTAAATGAAGAGGATGAAGTAACGTTACAAAGTCATTTACTGAGTGTATGCCCTGTGTAAATGAAGAGGATATTTCCTGTCATATCTGAAGTGTTTCCATTCGATTTAGTTCTAGGAAGTCCTTAGGTTCCCTGCCTCCAGGCCCTATTCTCCTGTCTCAATTTCACTCAGCATAATGTCCTCCAGGCTCATGCATATTGTAGTGAATTCCCTTCCTTTTGAAGGCTGAATACTATTCCGTTGTCTATATAGACGGTGTTTTGTGTATCCACTCATCTGCTGAAGGACACTTGAGTTACTTTCATGTTTTGACTATTGGGAATAATGCTGCTATGAACATGAGTGTACACAATTTTATGCTTTTCTTTCTTTTTTCTTTTTTTTTGAGATGGAGTCTCTCGTTCTGTCACCCAGGCTGCAGTGCAGTGGTGTGATCTCAGATCACTGTAACCTCCGCCTTCTGGGTTCAAGCAATTCTCCTGCCTCAGCCTCCCAAGTAGCTGGGATTACAGGCACCCACCACCACACCTGGCTAATGTTTGTATTTTTAGTAGAGACGGGGTTTCGCCATGTTGGCCAGGCTGGTCTTGAGCTCCCGATCTCAAGTGATCTGCTCTCCTCAGCCTCCCAAAGTGCTGGGATTACAGGCATGAACCATTGCACCCAGCCCACAATTTTATTCTTAATGGAATTTCTCCCTCTGCTTTGCTTTTAGGCCCAGACCCATGGAAAGTGGCCTGTGAAGTGGTACGCTCCGGAATGCATCAACTACTACAAGTTCTCCAGCAAAAGCGATGTCTGGAGCTTTGGAGTGTTGATGTGGGAAGCATTCTCCTACGGGCAGAAGCCGTATCGAGTGAGCCGCTCCTCTTTCATTTTCTCACTGTGGGGCCGTTAGAACAGATAAGCACCAGACTGTCTTTACAGGAACTTAAAAACCCTAAAATCTGAGCACCTCTCTGAGTCTCTCGTTATCTTTTACCAGTAAGCAGTTAATGTGCCCTCAGTCTGTTCCAAACTGAGGACGAAATATGTGATGCTCGCTGAAGAGTGTGCTTTTCCCATTGTGTGTCAACGCACGTAAATATACACAAAATACAACCCAGCTCATTATTCATTAGAGTTGAAATAGAAATCATGACTATTTACAGTATCTTAGTTACATTTTTTACATCTTTTTTTTTTTTGAGACGGAGTCTCGCTCTGTCCCCCAGGCTGGAGTGCAGTGGTGCGATCTCGGCTCACCACAAGCTCCGCCTCGCGGGTTCACACCATTCTCCTGCCTCAGCCTCCCGAGTAGCTGGGACTACAGGCGCCTGCCTCAACGCCCGGCTAATTTTTTATATTTTTAGTAGAGACGGGGTTTCACCGTGTTAGCCAGGATGGTCTCGATCTCCTGACCTTGTGATCCGCCCACCTCAGCCTCCCCTAGATCTTTTAATTAAAACATATATACCAAAAAGGGCACAACTCTTAGCATGCAGCACAGTGGTTTTTCCACAAATGAAACATACCCGTGAAATCAGCCCCCAGATGACGAACAGAACCCCAGAGGCCGTTTCCTCTGCACACACAGCCTTCCCCGCAGCTGACCCATCTGACTCCAGCATCACAGATTAAGTGCTCCTGTTTTTATACTTCATATAATTGAAATCATACAATGTGTACTCCTCCATGTCTTGGAGTGGCTGTTTTGTTTTGTTTGGCTAACACCTTTTTTTTAAAAAAAAAAAAAAAAGCTTATGCATATCTTGCATGTTGTAGGGGATGAAGGGAAGTGAAGTCACCGCTATGTTAGAGAAAGGAGAGCGGATGGGGTGCCCTGCAGGATGTCCAAGAGAGATGTACGATCTCATGAACCTGTGCTGGACGTATGAGTGAGTACCTAACACTGTCTGCGACATATTTAAATGCTCTGGAGACAGGTGAAATGGCTGGGCGTCTGAAACAAGCATAAAGTTCACCTTTTCATGAATCAGGAATGTGCCCCCTTTCTAAACAAACAATGGTGGGGGCTGGTCCTGCTTTAAGTTTAGACAGGGACTCTAACCCAAGTGTCCAAATTTAAACGTCGATAATGGTGGAGATATGGGGCAAGGGCAGTCAAACTAAAAAGGTGTTTGTAAGAGTTTGGGGCTGGATGCCGTTTCTGGTAGCAGTACTCAGTAGGGGATGTTATACTTTCCTGACTCCCTGATGACCATGAGCAGTGAGCGGTGACCTCGGACTCTGGCCAGGTCACAAATGGATTGGCTAAGGTTGCACTTCCCTAGAATCTACCTCGTCCTTGAAGTGGTGGCCTCAGTCCACCCTGACTGCCATCATATGTCTCGCTTAGTGGATCCAGGTGCTGTTATGCTTGTAAAGTACACCTGGCATTATTCTCAGGTGATGCTCAGGGAAGCTGAGCAGGGAAGGAAAATGCATTGTCACTGAAAATTAGGAGTACAGCTTTGCCAGGCTCAGCAGCCTGCTTGTGCGTGCGTAGCACGGTGACCCCAAGCTGCCGTCTCCAGCTCCCTGGTACTGAACTGAACACACAGAGCCCATGCAGCTTAGAATCGACGTGGTTTGTGATCAGGAGGACATCACAAATCCTGGCCATGAATTTGATGCTTTGTGGAATCAGGTTTGCCCTCAGATACAGCTGACATTGCCAGAGCCTCTGAAAGATGAGGGCTATTTCAAATGCTGCAGATGCCACCTGGGGTTCCGAGACCTCCCCTCCCCACCCTGGGAGTATCACTCTACCACAATTGTGAGTGATGGGGAAATAATCTCATTCTCCATCTAGAAACCACCCAGGGCACAGCCACAAAGGCAGCAGGCAAACTGTGGGTAGTTGCTACCCTGCCCCTGCTGCTGCCATGGCTCAGGAGAGGGGCCTGGCCTGGACCCTGGGGCATCTTCTCCAACCCCAAGTGTTAGTGCTACAGGGAGAGCTAAGTGTCAGCAAGAGGGAAGTGTTATTCATGGATTTAGGAGGATGTTTATTCCTAAGTCTTGGCTTAATTCTCCCAGTGCCCAAACCAGAATTGTCAGAACCATTGGCAGGTAGGCACTGGCCGCACTGGACCCTGGGGAGGGCAGCCCTTGGGCACGTGGCAGCCTGTGACCCTTTGCTGGTAGTGTTCTTTGGTCCTGCCTGCAAGGCTTCCCTTCCTGTAGGAGGGTGAAGAGGGTAGAGTTTAAATCAATGTGATACAAATGCAAAAACTTGGAATTAAAAATGAACTCGCAGTGGGGAGTTTTTGCATTTAACATTGATGCTGATCTATTTATTTCTGTCGATTCTTCTTTGTGGTGTGTGTTTTACAGTGCGGAGTGAAAGGTGGGTGGGGAAAGGGCTAGGTGCTGCAGCCAGGGGCACCACCTCCCACTTGGCTCCCGGGTGGCTGCGGTGAGGCTGCTGAATACACTTTGGGCCGTGGTGCATTCTTGTGACTCAAGGAATCAGGATGGGGGCCGCTGGGCCCACCTCTGTCCTCCATGGACACACTAACAGTGGGCACTGTTATTTCCAGAATGGTCCACCAGGGGGAGGCCGGGGAGGGAAAGCAGTCTATGTGATACTCACTGGATATTCACCAGAATTACAGCGAAGTAGAGCAGTAAACAGTCTCCTTAAGAGAGCATTCTTTCTAAACGTGTTTTCCCGCCTGGAGATTTAAGATGGAACCTGAGTGAGGTTCCCAGGCAGGCAGTGTCTTTCCCGTTTTGGTTCCCACCCCAGTCCGCTCTGCAGTGGTGCATTTCCGTGAGTTCTGCAGGCTTGGAGGAGTCAGCTCCCGGGCACAAGCCCCAGTCAAAGGGAAATCATGACGATGGCCCATGCCCCAGATTAGAAATCGCAGCTCTTTATCAGACTTTGATTTATTTCCCAGCAAAGCTATATTTCTGAAGGTTACAGTGTTCCTAGTAGTGACCTCAAACAGGGTTTGGGGAGGTGGGGAGATATTCAGAAACTTTTGAAGCAGCTGTATTTGTCTGCGGTAATACCTGAGTTCATTGCCTCACGCCAAGCAAATCGAAGATGCAGACACCCAAGAAGTGAGTTTAAGAGCAGAGGTTTAATAGGCAAGAGAAAAGAGAAAAGCTCTCTCTCCTGCAGACAGATAAGGGCTGCCAAGTGGTTCTTCAGGTTCCTGTGGAAATACACAGGGTTTTATAGATGAGCTTGAGTCTGATTTACATAGGGCTCAAAGATTGGTTGGACCAGGTGGGTCATTACATAACACGAAAAGAAACTGGTTGCCCCACCCTGATCTTTTATTATGCAGATGAGGTCTCTACTTGGCCAGTGCCATGTTGCCTGCTTTTTCTTTTTTTTTTTCTGAGACAGAGTCTCGCTCTGTCGCCCAGGCTGGAGTGCAGTGGCGCAATCTCGGCTCCAGGATGGTCTGGATCTCCTGACCTCGTGATGCGCCCACCTCGGCCTCCCAAAGTGCTGGAATTACAGGTGTGAGCCACTGCTCCCGGCCTTTGCCTGCTTTTTTACTGCACACTTGGCAACAAGGAAAGTGGAAGAGGGAACCTCCATGTTGAATATCCCTGGCCTCCAGGTGTCCCTTTTCTATCGACACAGCTTCCAGCATTTACCTATGCGAGCTTTTAGCTTGCTTATCTATGCTTGCAGTTTGATTTTTCAGGCTGCTTTTTATTAGAAAAAGACATGATTTAGGGGCTGCTTTTTATTGCAAGGAAACCTTACAGAGGACTCTGTCACCCACTCTATATGCCTACATAATTTCTTTCTAGCTCCGTATCACTTTGTCTAAACATAAGAAATTCAATGAGGTGCAGTTGAATGAAAAAAAAAAGAAAAACATTCCTTGGAGCAGGGCCACAAGGAGAACTCAGAAGCGCCAAGGGCTGGTCCTGGTAACCGGGGCTATTGCTCGCGGCCCTCCAGAAGGTGCAGGGGTCCCTCACCGCAGGCCTTGTCATCAGTTCCAGGGTGTGGTCCTGGAGGGATTTCAAAGGGACTTCCCAGCCTCAATGACAGAGCCCTGAGAAGACAGACAGCATCCCTCACTCACCATTGTAAGAGAGCCAGAGATTACCTCCAACCCCTTTTTAGTCTTAGTGGGCTCTTCAGCTGGACCTAGAAACTGATACCAGGCAGATTAATAAAAGAAAAGCATACCAATTTTATTAGTTTTACATGTTTATGGGGAGACTCGCAAAGAGTGAAGTCTAAAGAAGTGGCCAAAGCAAGATGCTTTTATACTTTTTAGACAAAGAGCCATACATTTAAGAAGAAATGACAGGACGAATCTGGCTAGGAGTAATTTTTCTAGAGAAGGCACTAGGAGATATGAGGATGGTGTAAAACCAGTGGAAGATAAGGGATACTTTGTTAAACATGTTTACTCAGGCCCGTTGCAGCTCCAGTGCCCAGTCTCTGATGATAAGGGCCATTTTCTCATCCTGCTACAGGGAGGGTCTCCTTCCCAGAGGAATCTTTATGGCTTGCTGCAGACACAAAGAGACGGGTCAGCTCGTCCTTTCCGAAACTACAATTTATCCAGTATTTTCAACTCAAAATAATCAATACCCCAATCTGGCATATTCTGGGATGGCCTGTGCTTCACTCCTTCCCCCTCCGGCTTTCCAAAGAGGAAACACATTAGAGTCTGCCCCATGCAGGTCACTCAGGAAGGCAGCGTGAAAGCCGAGAAGGAAACACTGGCCCTTAGAAAGCAGGACTCAGTCAGGAAGCCTTCCACTGCAGTGTTCTCCAGAGCCAAGTCATGCTTCGGGTGATTGAAGACACCCGTGGGGAAAGCCCTTGCAAATGGAGAGAAGCTGGTGCTCTTGATCCTGAAAAACAGTCTCCTAATAGTCCCAGCCCTCCAGTGGGGGCCTCTGCCGAATGGAGAAAATTTCTGGGCTGTCCAGTTTCTCTGAGAGTCAGGGAGGCTCGAGATGTGGCTCCAATTCCTGTTTAAAGATCAGTAAGCCCAAGATACAGCATGAATTCCCAGGACCTTGGTGAGATCTGCCCTGGCTCCCTGCACAGCCTCAGCCAGCTTTCCTCTGAGCGGCACATCCTCTGAGAGCCCGGGGTCATTCACAGGGTCGGTGGCCACTGCCGGAGCTCATGCTGTGCAGGCTGCCGCCCCAGATGCAAGCCTCACAGAAGCCTCAGACCCTGTCCTTATCAGACCTTATAGTTGGGACTGGAGCAGACAGGCCATAAGTAATAAGCTAAAAATAAGTGTGTCCTATGGTGTGTCTTAGGAAAGGGATGATTCCAGTGAGAAATCAAAGCAAGGAGGGCCCAGGGGCCTGGAGGACATCACGTGTGTGTATGGGGTTTTTTAAGCCCTCTCGTGTCGAAGTTGTTTCTCAGAGTTGCCTGTAGCACAGAAGCATATTGGAGCTTCTAGAATGTGGTGGATTCAATGAAGGGACTACAGGTGGTCCTAGTGTATTCTCTGTTTTGTTTAGTTTTGCTTTGTTTTGCTTTGTTTTTTCATTTTTTCCTCAGTTGTAAACAGCCACCCTCTCCAAGGTGATATATAGAGACAGACAGAGAGAGCGGGAGGGAGGTAGATGAAGGGAGAGAAAGAGGGAGGGAGGGAGAGAAGCAGTCTCATTAGCACAAACCCGGGTATGGTTAAAGGGGGTTTATTATGAGTAACAAAAGATGCTGCTTTCAGCCCAACAATCAGGAAATTCCACGGGTTTTAGGAGCTCTGTGCCAGGAACCCAGGATGAAGACCGTATATCTCTTTATATAAAATCACACACTGGAAACTTTAAAAGAGAACAGAAAATTATGGGGAGGGAAGGGTCACACATCCAACAGGGGCTCCAAATAGGCCACCTTTAGGGATTGCAGCTGACACGTGCAGGCTAAGAAGCAAGGTTGGGTATAGGGATGAGGGGAGAGGAGAAGGGTCACTGGGCATGAGGGGCAGAGCAGAAACTGCACTCTGGCCTGAAAGCAGAGTGGCAGGCCAGGGCAGGGCAGGAAGCTGGGCACGGAAGGGCCCTGCATCACCCTCCTGCTGCTGAAGCACAGCTGTGTCCTGGCTTCCTGGAGGCAGCATCTCCCATGGATGTACAGGAGAGATTTCCTAGGAGACCTGAGCAGGTGTTTTTCCTGAGGACGAGTCTGTATTCCTGTTTCCCTTTATTTGTTTGGTGCTTGGCTGCTGGGCAGATGAACCCCCAGAGCAAGATCCAGAGGTGCTCTTTGTACCATTTGGATCCCCACAGTTGGAGCAGAGCCCCCTGTTTTGCAAAGATGCTAAAGTATGTTCTCTTTGACTGTAGAAGTTTAGGAGCGAGATAGAGGCTGTCCCTCTGGGTGGACGCATGCTCCTGTACCAGAGGCTTGGCCACCACATCCCATCCTGGAACACACTTGGTGGCCAGAGACAAGGCCCCTCTTAGTGACACCGTGGGAGGCCCGTGTCCTCAGACATGACCACAGATGGCTGACCACACTGATCAATTCCAGCAGTTTTATCATTCTGCTCGCTATTGAAAGCTATAAGTGAAACCATGTATTTTGATGCCGTTTGACAAAGCTACCCATTTTGATTTGTAGAAGCCACTCTGCTCTTAAAATGATGAGTGAGTCTTGGTCCTGATGCACGTTCTATGGCCGTTCTCTTGTGTCGACATTGAACCATATGAAATTGCCATTGCCATAGGTCAAAATGGCTGAACGTGGATGGTTTCATACAATTTAACCTCACATTCTATTTCACTTTTTCACTTATTATATTTCAACTTCACCCACTTGTAATATATCCAGAAATCTTGCAAAATAAGAAAAATAACTTCTAAGTGAGGATTGATTATCGGGGTTTTAGTACTTGCTTCCAACTGATCTGTAAAGGATATCTGTGTGAGAGTAAACAGAAGTGTCTGTAAATGTTTGTTTAGAGACTGCGAATTGTTAACGCTTTTGCCCGTGGTTCACTGACATCAGTGCCTCCCTGGCCAGCAGTGGCAGTAAGGACTGGCTATATTAAGGTGGATCATAGACAAGCCCCAGGTCTTTGCTTCTGCCATGACATGTTTTGAGTTTTCATAAGAACCCATATCAACAGCCCATTTTCAGAAAATCCAGAGCCATGTATTAGAGCGTGGAAAGGAAGAATTAAAGCTATGTTCCTATTTCTTCTCTTAACAAGATTACGAGTCAGATGTTGACTATATCCGCAGTACATATGCCGAGTATTTTCAGACACCTGTTTTGCTGAAATCACAGCGAGACAGCCTCTTTGTGTTGCCTGTGGCACTGAAGCATATTGTGTGCTGCATATCTGAACCTGGGGCTAAAACACTCCCAGTTCTAATGCAAAAAGTCTCCTACTTTAAGGTGGACGTGAATCACCTGGAGGTCTTGTTAAAATACAGATATGGATTATTTAGGTCTACAGTAGGCATACACTTTCCGACAGCCTTCTGGTCACCCTGGGGCGGGGAGCACAGGGACCACACTGTGAGCTGCAGGCCCTAGAGTCAGCCACCAGGGAGCAGCACCACTGGTACGCAGCCTGCAGAGGCCCAGCTTGTGATCAGCGTTTTTTCACAAGCACATTGACAAACAAGAATGCATCTCTTCCCGTTCCAGTGTGGAGAACAGGCCCGGATTCGCAGCAGTGGAACTGCGGCTGCGCAATTACTACTATGACGTGGTGAACTAACCGCTCCCGTACCTGTCGGTGGCTGTCTTTGATCACAGAAACAGTCACAGGAAAATGTATCCAGAGGAACTGATTGTCAGCCACCTCCCTCTGCCAGTTGGGAGAGCCAGCCTTGGATGGAACACGCCCGTGACGCGTCACCCAAAGCCTATCCCAGGACTCACCCTCCACAAAGCAAAGGCAATGCTGGGGGAGAAGACGAATGGCAGGATCCCAGGGGCTAGATGGATTTGTTTGTTTTCTTGTCTGTGTGATTTTCATACAGGTTATTTTTACAATCTGTTTCCAAATCCCTTTCGTGTCTTTCCTCTTCTCTGGGTCCTGGAGTGCATTTGTTACTGATTGCGCCCAGGGGCACTGCAGAGTGGCCTAGAGCACTCACACCCCAAGCGGCCTTTTCCGAATGCCCAAGGATGCCTTAGCATGTGACTCCTGAAGGGAGGGCAAAGGCAGAGGAATTTGGCTGCTTCTACGGCATGGCTGTGACAGCCAATGAGACTGATCCCTGGTCACTGAAAAGCTTTCATGACAATAAAAATGTTTCGAGGCTTTAAAAAGAAAATCAAGTTTGACCAGTGCAGTTTCTAAGCATGTAACCAGTTAAGGAAAGGAAAAAAAAAAAAAAAAGGCCTGGATCCTGCTTTTACTGTCTCTGTTATGAGATGGAAGACTTACATGTTTGTGATAAAAGGGGACCGTTTGAATGAATTGGCTTGGCTTACTTCCCCCCCGAAATCCTCTCTCCTGCAGACTGTCTTGACGACCTGGTGACTGGTAAATAAGGCCCTGCATGGAGGCTGCAGAGCAGGGGCAAGAGGCCCAGCCCCCGGCGTCTCACTGAGGACAGCTTCGGGCTGCCTTCCCCTGAACGTGGTCCACACCTTCCTCTCCTCCATAGAGAGGGTGCTGCCAGAATCCCCTGTTGCTTTCTGTGTCTGTAATGGGGGACAGTACAGGGATTAAAGCCATCTAAAGAGTTTCCAAAGAAAGTGTTAATTCATAACAAGCCGAAGACCCTGAGCCTCACCACAAATAGGCCTTTTGGAGTGTGAGTTTGAAGTGAAGATACAAGACGGGAGAATTATTTTCTGGTCTTAACTAATCCTTGACTTATGAAAGGAGTGGTTGGATGTGCCAGGTTTGGTAAAGTGGTGACCGCATCTGAGAAAGAGGCTGTGAGGCTGAACTCCGGGTGGCTTCCTTCCGTCACTTCCACAGGGAGCCTTTAACACAGGCCCCGTGCTCGTAGGAATATGGTAGCACCTATGTAGGAAGTGCGTGCAGTTTTCTGTCTTCTTTCCGTGTGATTTTTGGCCTCTTTCTCAGCACTTCTCCCCTCCCAGGAGCCTCGGGATGCCAAACGTCCAGAATGTGATGGGGCAAGAGGGGGGCAGGGGCCTCACCTCCCTGCAGAGGTCCAGTCGGGTCTCCTTGTCCCTGGACAATCTCCTGAGCCTGTCCGCTTGGTGAAGCAGGCACCTGTGTGCAGAATTCCCACTGTGGCCAGCACGAGGAAGTCTTTTCTAGTGAAAATGTGTCCTGCGGTCAGGAATCATTATCCTTCCCCCTGCAGCCACTAAGAAGGGCAAATAGAGAAAGGCAACTGAATTGAAGGATTGGTCATATGAAAAGGGCTACATTTGGGAAGCTGGGAAAGGCCTCCGGGCTTCTAGGGCTTCTAGAGCAGCTAGCTTGGGCTGGATTCTCATACCCAGGCTGCCCCTTGGATTGTTCTACCCAAGCTTTTCCCTGGGGTCTGGGCTCACTCCATAAGGTAAGGTGCCTTTCACCTTATGGTCCTTGTTTAGCAGGGAACAAAGGAGCATCATGGACAGACTGCCCTAGAGGCATCACATTGGCCCCTGGGGCCGTGAATATCTTGTCCCCCAGCAGGGCTGAGTGTTTCTGTCACAGAAAACAGTGCGTTCAGTGGTGAAAATCGTTGCATGCATGTTTTCATCTGAGCATGTCCTTCTCCCATACTCCCTATCACCCAGCCCTGCCTGTAGTTGCTGGATGGTGATTGCCCTTGGACATCAGTCCAATGACTGCAAGTTAGCCTGGATTTCCACTTGCAGAAGCAACAGCTGCATTGTCAGGCCTCCCAGCCCTGCAGAGAGCTCCCACTGGTTAGCAGTGTGTCATGTTTTCCATTCATTTCAGAAGAGCTACATTGTGTCACTGGACATTTTTAAAAACTGTGATTTTTAATAAAAACTTACCTTGAACTTTGTGATGATTTTCATGGAAGTTACTAGGATACGGTAAGTCACACTGTCCAATAGTGTCAAGCAGCATTGTCACAGGGGTAGCTAAGTGTTTTCTAAAACATTAAGTCCCTGCCATGTCCTAAAAAAGTGAATGTGTGGGTCAGGTGCAGTGGCTCACGCCTATAATCCCAACACTTTGGGAGGCCCAAACAGGAGGATCTCTTGAGCCCAGGAGTTTGAGACCAGCCTGGACAACATAGTAAGACTTTGTCTCTGCAGAAATCAAAACATTAGCCAGGTGCGGTGGTATGCACCAGTAGTCCCAGCTACTTGGGAGGCTGGGGCAGGAGGATAGCTTGAGCCTGGGAGGTCAAGGCTGAAATGAGCTCTGATGGTACCACTGCACTCCAGTCCGGGTGACAGAGCAAGATCCTATCTCAAAAAAAAGAAAGAAAAAAAGAAAAAAAAAGTGAATGTGCACAGGCCACTCAAAGTTGTCTGTGAGATTCCACCACACAGAAGGGGGAGGCCCATCAGGGAGGGGCCCTGTCCTGCCCTGCCTCTATCTCTTATTCATGAGCAGAGCATCTACCCAACAAGGGCCTGACAGCCCATGGCCTGCCTAATAAAAGACAGACTGAGGAGACCCAGAAATCCCCCATCAGGGCGAAGCAAGGTTGTGGGTTTTGAGCTATTCCTTTCTCTATGAAGACAGCCTAAAGGAAACTGGGGTAGACAAAGAAAGCCCCAATCTCTGCCTGTTCTAAGGAGGTTACACACATGCACAGACATGCACACATATACATATACCTGCACACATGCATGCACGCATGCACAAAAGGCATGCACACGTGTACATGTGCACACATGCATATATGTTAATGCATACATGTATATACACACATACATACACATGTGCATGGGCACACACATTTATGTGCACACATGCACCCACACACAAGCACATGCACAAATGTGCACATACACACATTCACGTGTGCACACATGTACATACATGTACACATACCTGTACCCACATGCACACATAAACATACACATATGCAGAGACAGGCACACATGCATGCACATGCACACAAATACACAGAACATGCATGCACCACACAGTACCCATAGACATATAGCAAACACATACCACATACACCTTCACTGCACATACACACATTATGCCATACACACACACCACACAAGCACACACACACAAAACGCACACACCACTGCACATACTGAACCTTACTCCAAATAACCACTTAAAAATCCATGTGAGGCAGTGGTCCTGCAGTGGACGCACCCTCGTGTCTATATCCATCATCACCACCACCCTCTCTGGGGTCAAGCAGTAAGGGTCTCTCCCTCACACTCTTCCATCCTAGCCTCCCCTGGATCCCCTCTGCTCTTGCCAAGCCAAGTTAGGTTTGGAGTAAACAATGAATTTGGCTGGGCCAAGGCTCCCTGGGTCAGCTGGGAGATGGGAAGGACAGAGACTGCCCAATAACCCAGTGGCCTACAGGGGGCTGCTCCAAATACAGTGGGATGGTGAAGCACCCTGAAGTCAGAGAACACAGCACACAACAGATCACTGGGCTCCAGCCCTGCCCTTGGGCACGTCCTATAAATTGAACCCCCGAGCACCACAATTTCAGCTGAGGGTGGCTGCGCTGACACATGCAAGTGCCAGCACAGTGGCCTTATTCTAAAAATGTCAGCAGATGCCGTGGTCTGTGCTGATCATGCCAACTGCTGGAAGGAATGCTGCGTGCAGCAGACAGCGTGCGCTCTGGGACGGCTCAGGAAATAAGCGCTGGCCTTTGGCTTCAACCCCAGGGTGGGGAAAGCTTGTGATGATGTATCACTGCACTGCAGTGTGAGATGGCTTTACCACTAGCCTGAGCTGCAGCAGAGAGGCGGTTTAAGACCCCCGGGCTTGTCCTTCAGAGATAAGGAGGGGACTTTAGAACTGGTCGATAAATATGTTCTCATTTTGGGGAGGAAGGGAGCACTTTGAAACAGGGAAGTTTTGGTTTTTGAATTATCTTTTAGATATTATATGGTCTTTCATTATCTCTCTCTCAGATACACACCCACACACACACACACACACACACACTCTCTCTCTCTCTCTCTCTCTCTCTGTCTCCGGGACATATAGAATCAATCTTTCCTCCAAAGAAAAAGAAGAAATGATGACAACATTTTGCTATGGAAGGGTGTGGACGGCAAGTCACCCAGGTACCGAGGCAAGAGACTGAAGGCACAAGCTATTCCAGTATAATGAAGAAAATAATAAGAATAAGAATAGTTGTACTAGAAATAGAATATAGATATGATTATGTATTAATATTATTAATCATTAGTTTGTAGAATTACTCTTTGTTCTGTTATTCTAATAATCCCTATTCTAGAATTATAACCTAGAAAAAACCAGGTCGTATGGAGTTAGGAGCTGAAGGGACACGATGAGAAGTGACCAGAAGGCAAGAGTGTGAGCCCTCTGTCACACCCGGATCAGGGCAACTAGAGGGCTGCTTGGTTTAGTGGTAATGCCAGTGCCTGGGAAGGCACCCGTCACTTAGCAGAGCGGGAAAGGGAATCATCCCAGTGATGCTGTGCTTCAGCGCTCACACTCCGGGTCCACTTTCACGTTCCGTTCTGTACGCCTGGCTCCGTCTTCTAGCTAGCAGTAGCAGAATTAGTGAAAGCATTAAAGTCTTTGATCTTTCTGGTAAGTGCTTAGAAGAAATTATGACGCGTGACGTATGCCGTCCTCTCTCTCTCCGTCTCGGCTGCCATAAAGGGAAAGGCCCCCTGTATGGTGGACACATGACTTGCGTGACCTTATCAATCATTGGAGATGACTCAGACTCCTTGCCTTGCCCCCTTGCCTTGTATACAATAAGTAGCAGCGTGGTCAGGCATTTGGGGCCACTACCAGTCTCAGCATCTTGGCAGTAGTGGTCCCCCGGCCCCAGCTGTTTTTTCTTCCATCTCTTTGTCTTATGTCTTTATTTCTACAATCTCTCGTCTCTGCACACGAAGAGAAAACCCACAGGCCCCGTAGGGCTGGACCCTACATCTGGCACCCAACGAGGATTTCTCTCTCGCTGTGTGAAGGTGCACTTTGAGCGCGGAACTCTGCGGAGGACTACCGACGACAGATTCCTGAGGCTTGCGGCCAACAAGCTTGGTGGTAAGCTTGGGCACTCAGAGTATCCCGGGCCACCATGGGACAGGCCAGTACTAAGTACTCAGCTTATTTAAACTTTATAAAAACTCTCCTTAAAGAAGGAGATGTAAAAGTCTCTGCCGATAAGTTAATTGAATTGTTTGAGGTCGTAGATCTCCTTTGCCCTTGGTTTCCTACTGAGGGAACCTTAGAACTCAAAGAGTGGGATGAGATTGGTCGACAATTCAAAATTGCTCATAAAGGGGGGCGTATTATTCCTCCCACCATTTGGTCAGTCTGGGCTTCGGTTTGCTCTGTTCTGGATTCCTTGCAGACTCAGGAGAACAACCTGGAGACTGAGCCCTCTTCCCTCTCCTCTCAGGAGGCTGAGAAGTCCTCAGTTCTCTTTCTCCTGAGGATACTGCACAGATTGAGGCCGTCGTTTTACAGACGGACCTCCATTCTGACATTCCTTTGGCCCCGCCGCCTACACCAGAACCTACCGCGCCCCCATTATCGCTTTATGATGAACTTTTACATGATTTAAATGATCTCATCTCCCCAAACCAGCAAAATCCAACCAAAATATATTATCAACAGCCATTGCAACTGGACCCTCCTGTCTTTCCTCAGCCCTGCTGTAGGGCCCCCTACCTTCCATCTGTGTGGCCGGAAAATGAGGCTCTAAACTACGTTTCTATGCAGCCAGGTAATGAGGCTCTCAACTCTGTCCCTATTCAGCCCTGCTGTAGGGCCCTCAACCTTCCATCTGTTCAGCCCGGTAATGAGGCTCTCAACTCTGTCTTGGCTCAGCCCTGCTGCAGGGCCCTCAACCTGCCGTCTGTTCAGCCTGGTAACGAGGCTCTCAACTCTGTCTCTGCTCAGCCCTGCTGCAGGGCTGTCAACTTTCCATCTATTTGACCTGGCAATGAGGCCTTCAAACCTATCCCTCTGCAGCCTGGTTATCCATCTCTCACTTCTGTTTCTCCTTCAGCACGTCAGGCTCCCTTGAAGCCTGTCCCACAGTTACTGCAGCAACCTGGACCTCAGGCCCCTGAAAGACCTGCTCAGCAGGTACTCGCGCCTCCACCTGGCTTACAGGTTCTCAATTCTTCCTCTGTTCAAAACCCTAACTTCTTTCTCCTTCTGGTCCGGTCACTCATGCAGTTGCCACCACCACCATTGCCGCTCATAAGCAACAAGTTACATACATCCCTCAAGATGACACTCCTCTTATGAGAGCCATCGCTCAGGTAAGAGAATACGGGGCTCCTGAGGCCTGGCAATTTCCTGGAATTTTACAACCTCCTATACCTGCCATCCCTGCGGCACAAAATCAGCCACAGCCAGCTGACCCTGCTCAGCAGGCGACTGATCCCATGGCTTCTCCAGATGTACAGCCTGAGAATCAGGTCCCTCAGCCTGAGAATCGGGCTCCTCAGGCGAATAATCAGCCCCCACAACCGCCTGCTGCCGTGGCGCAGCCAGCTCCAGGTATACCTACAGTCCAGGCAGCAGTCCAACCAGATCCTATTCACTCAGTCCAGGTTCAGCTATGCCCTGCTGCTCGGGAAAGTTTTTCTTTTAACTTCCTCAAAGATTTCAAAGGATGAGTGAAGCAGTACGGCACCAACTCCCCTTTCGTCCGTTCCATATTAAAGGCCCTAGCAGAAGGTAAACGTCTGGTGCCCTGTGACTGGAAAATTCTAGCAAAGTCAGTCTTATCTAAATCCCAATATTTACAATTCAGGACTTGGTGGGTTGATGCTGTCCAGGAACGCATTCGTCTTAATCAGGGCTCTAATCCTGTTAATGTTACGGCTGACCAGTTACTGGGAATGG